TTTGTTCAAGTGAAAACTTGTTCTTTTCTTTTCTTTTCTTTTCATTTCTTTTCTTTTCTTTCAATACAAAAGGTAACACGATGAACATGCAAGAATATTATTCCTTCATCGTATCTTCTCGGATTAGTAAACGATCATTTGACACAGTAAAAAAAAAAAAATAGAAAAAGAAAAAGGTTAGTTTGAATATTGACCGAAACGTTAGAAGAGTTGTCACAACGTTTCTTAGTTTAATTCACACGTTGCGTTATACCAAAATGTTTGCTTTTAACTTTGCTCAATAACTTCTTCTATCGTTTGTTCTTCTCATACCAACCAACCAACCAACCAACCAACCTTCTTTCTTTCTTTATTTCTTTCATCTCCGAATACTTTAGTCACACATGATCTAAGTTTATTCTAACGTGGTGTTACTTTTCTTACTTTCTTTTTTACTTACATACTTTCTTCTCATTTCTATTCTTTTCGGAATGTTTATTTTTTTTTTTTTTTTTTTTTTTTTTTGAGAAAATAATTTATATTGTTATAAACAGGATGTTCGAAATAAAATGTTTCGTAATTTTCTACACCAGAATAAACTTTTGTAAAAAGTATAATCAAGTTTATCAGATTTATGTTTATTACAACAAGTTTATTATCCATTCGTGTAATATTCATTCGTTCAAGAAGGATTTGCGGAAAATCTTCTTAAGTCCGTTCTCGAGAGACCACAAGCGATTGGGCAAAATCGATTGTTCGATTAAATCAACGTTATCGATGTTATACTTTGATTCCTACGATGTTTCGAGATTATCTTTGGAATTAGGATTAATCCGATAGGTTAATACTACAATCGATTAAACCTATTGAAATTTATTTATTTATTTAATTAATTTTTCTGTCAATATTACGTACGATTATTAACGCATATTTTATTACAAATTTCGGTACTTACGTATTAACGCAATTGCAACAAAAATTCCGCTAATGCGCCAATAAAGAACAACCTTGTTGTTTGCACACAGCAACCATTAGGATTGTGTCAGGGTTTTGTCAGGGTTTCGTCAAGATTATGGCGACAGCATCAGGTGAATGAAAATAGAGACTGTTTTGAATCAATGTTAAATTCTATATCGGCCCATTTTCCATCGAAATCCGATTGACTACTTTTTATAAATAAAATCTTTTGAATTTGGAAAGTGTTTTGATTTTAAATAAAGTTTTTATACTATGATTTGTCGTAACAAATTAAAGTGTAAATTGGCGCATTAGCGAAATTTTGCGTTAATACGTAAGTATCAAAATTTCTTTCAAATATTATACAACTGATCACATGAAAATGTTGTAATTTTGAATTAAAAAGATTAAAAAAAACATTTTGAACAAATTTGGAAATTTTTTTTTCCTTGTATGTATTTTTTTTAATAATATAAATGATTACACACCAAGATAATAATACATGATTCTTAACCCTTTACGTATATTGCGATCTAGATTATTATCATTCAGCGATAATTCGTTGCCGTTTTCTTTAATGTTATTGGAACGAGAACGAGTATATCGAAAATGGAGATCGTTCGGGATCGGTAATTCCGTAATTTCCTCTGATTAATTTGTCCGGTGTGGAGCAATCAGAGAGAAAGTACTTACATCTTTCGAGGAAACTATTATCGAAAATGGCATGTTCGTTCGTTCGTTCATTCATTCATTCATTCGATCGATCGATCGATCGAATCGCACCATTCGATCTCATCGCGGTATCACAAACGTTTCACTTTATCTCTCAACTTTGATCCTATACTCATCTTTTATCATAAACAAGATGAAACATTTTGAAGAACTTTTCTAAGACAAATATTCTAATTTATTTGTTGATCATTTTTTTTTTTTATTTAAAATATTATATTAAATAAGAAAAATATATGCATACATGTGTATAAGTATATTTATACGATGTACACACTAACGATAAGTATCATGCACAGGTGTACCAATAATAGTACGGTTATAATAATATAGAACGTGATACTCCCATAAGTGAACCCCCCTCCCCCCTCCCCACCCCTCCCCGTAACGAACGTCGACACGTACAAGAACAAGTAATCTGTGTTACGGGAAAACAAGTAACGATATCGTATCCGCTTTGTAAAAGCAACTTTTGCACGAGACGCAACCACTTTTCTTTTTTACAAACCGTAAGGTCCTTTCCATCGAATTTCTCCAATAAAACTCGATTGAAATTGATCTCTCTCCCTCTCCCTCTCTCTCTCTGTCTTTCTTTCTCTCTTGTATAAATCGATTGCGTCATTAAAAACATGTTCGATAACAGCTACAAATTTGATCATTCCTTTCCAATCAATCGATATTTATTTCCATTAAATTACAACTAATTATATTCGATTACATTTGACAAAGATATTAATAGTCAAAAATATATCCGTAATCAAATATACTTGTTTTTTATCAAATTAAAAATGACGAAGTGTTTCACGTCACACACATATATATGTATGTATATATATATAAAAGTACTATTACATAGAAATGAATAGACCTATCGGTAAATGAAAAACTACTTTAATTATCATCTATGTAATCTTTTATCTATCATTATTCTCTTTCATTCTTTCTATCTATGTCTATGTCATATACCATACTGTTAGTGGGTGGACGTAAACGAATTCACCGGGCCAACTAATTCGTTCGTTTATTTTCCGCTTTTACGTTGAATAGAAATGCTACTCTTTCTTTCACACTGACAAAGTATTCCATAGTCGAGAATCGTATTCATTCCGTATAATATCGTATCGCGGTGTTTTTAAGCAGCGTTTTAATGAAATCTCTACTGCACACCGAACACTATGAATGGTATGGGTGTGTTGCAGTACTATTATTTCATTACCGATTACTTTTTTTTTTCTGTACTCTTTCGTTCGTACAACGATATCTCTACCCTCCCACCTCCTCCACCTCCACCTCCTCCTCCTCCTCTTTTTTATCGTCTCATTCTCGTGTTATTTACATTACTCATATACTTATCTATTCATGTAATACTCATAGTATTGTACTACTGTATGCAACATTTGATCGATCTTAAACGTTTTTATCGTATTTCTGTGATTTCAAATACATCCTGTAATCGTAAATTTTCTTTCTTATTCTCGAGAAATCTCTTTATCATTCGACAGGATCACACTACCTACCTACGACTTCAAACTTTCATCGACCATTTCCCGTCCCCTTCGTAGTTTTTTTCTTAAACGTCCGTCCGTCCGTCCGTTTGAATGTATGTATACATTTGTAAATTTAATTTTTAAACGATATTTCTCGTATGTTTTATTAAAACGGTGAGGTTTTGTATTTGTATGTATGTATATATATATATATGTATGTATTCATATATGTGTGGACATTGATTAAATACACGTATCGAATGAAATACGTATGCCAAATACAATTGAGTATTGTTAGAGTAGTTTCTATGAAATTTGATATTATTTTTTGGTTGCATTTTATTCATTCGTTTAATCGTAGTTACAATCGCTAGAGTATAGATTTCGTACTATTTCATGATAATAACAAACAAAGTGAAATATTAGATTGATCATTATTTTAATTGGTGGACGATATTTCTTGGAAAACGATGAATGAACGAATGAATGAATGAAATAACGTTTGTGAAAGATACAACATGCACATGTATCAAAAAATTGTCTAAAAGTTAACCATAAGAGAAAAATAATCACACCATGGGATTAATAAATTTGATCTAAAGGTGGGGGGGGGGACCACCATGGCGCCACTTCGTCATCTTTCGAAAAGAATTCTTATCTCTTTGAAGAATTTTATGGCATTCCAAGTTGAAAGGAACTTTGGGGGCTAATAACAAACCATCTCTTCTACCCTTTCTCGATCCTTTTACTATGGTCTCCTCTAAATCTCTCCACTTTCCCTCTTTTTTATTTTCCGTTATCTTCCTCTTCTTCTTCTTCCTTCTCTTCTCTTCTATTTCTTTTTCTTTTTCTTTTTCTTTTTCTTTTTGATCCCTTCTTTATTTTCTCGTTCCAGCACGTGTGCTTTATTAGAGAAACGATGATTCTTTCCAATCCCAAGTTTCATCTTCCTCATTCGTCTCTCCTCACGAAACTTTATAATTCTTTATGGGAATAATAATGGAATGAAAAAAAAAAAAAAAAGGAAAAAAGAAAAACGAGAAAGGGCTTTTTCGTTAATTTGAAACCGTGAAAACTAACCACCATAAAACATTCATTAAACATTATATAAACATCCTGTTGAATTTATCTATGATTTATTTATCCGACAAACAAGACGAACTTCTTGTTTTTTTTTATTTTTATTTAGTCAAGAGAATTGACTGTAATCTAAATTAGACGATGTCTGTGGTTGATGTTAACCATAGAACAAAATTATATGATAAGACGAATCCATTCGCTTTTTTTCTCTCGTCATAAATTAATTTAAAATTATATTCGTAAAAGAAATAAAAAAAAAAAAAAAAAAAAAATACAAAATGATATTCCATTGGAATGCCGAGGTCAGCGTATCAAGTGACCAGAAGCATTTCTTTCGAAAAAAAAAAAAACGAGATCTCGATTTGGTTAGATAAAATCGTATAAAAAGCGTCGAGTATGTTCGAATAAATAAAACCAAAAAAATAAAAATAAACGAAAAAAACTATAGAAATAAAAGTCAATTGCCAAAGAGCCCATAAACGAAGCCATGTGTTTTGAATTCGATAGTAAGTAGTACGGAATGAAAAGGAATATAACTCGAGAGTCTTTTTCGAGGGTTCTTCTTATTCTTCTTCTTCTTCTTCTTCATCTTCTTCTTCTTGTCTAAGGTAAAACGAGTTTGAGTCGAGTCACGATTTTCCTACTAGCCTAACCGTTTCGAAAGATCATTATCTAACGACATTAAGAATAAGAGATAGAGATTAAAAAGAAAATAAAAATAAAAAGAAACAAGACAAAGAAGTAAACAAGAAAGAACAGATTTTTTACCTTGACAAGCAGGTGTATCGGTTGACTGACGCTCAGTGGCTTGCCCCTTCTAGGTTTGCCTCCTGCACCACCCAAACACTTTATCCACGGCATTCCTCGACTATTTTCACGATCCTTTTTCTTTCTATTATTCGTACTATCTTTTTTGATTTCGCGAGGATCCCCCCTGTTGCCAGCTTTTGCCAGGCTCCTCGATCTTTCCTCCCTCTTAACCCTTTCCTTCGTATCCTCCAGCCTGTCTGCTTTATTTTTATCACTTTTTCACAGATATAAACCCTTCTCCTCTTAAATATATATCTATCTTTCTCTCTCTCTCTTTTTTTATTATTATTATTATTATTATTATTCTCTTTCTTATTAAGGTTTTACAATTTTCCCAATGTTCACATCGTTCTCGTTTAATTGCTGCATTTCTCTACTTGTTTTTTTTTTTTGTATGTCTATCTTATTTAATATTCCCCGTTATTTCTCTTAGATTTTTTTTCTTCTATTTTTTAAGTATTTTTATTTTTATTGTCTTTTTCTTTCCTTTTTCTTTTTAGTACCGGTAGAAGCTAGTAAATCTTAACTGTCTCTCTCTCTCTCTCTCTCCACCCTTTTCGAGTCTTCGTGACTGAAGGTATTAATTCCTCTCGTCAACGAGTTTACACGAACGAGAAACACGTATATTGTTGTTGTTGTTGTTGTTGTTGTAGTATCATCCTCTTCTTTTTCTTTTTCTTCTCGTTAGGATGCAACACCGAAACACGCCCGTAGAAATTCATGAATGAACTGACGTTAGGATTTTCATCGATTTGACGATAATAAGTTATCAACTTTGTTAGTTGATGATATATCACGCTGTTACTATCATCGCTTACTCTCGTGTTACCAACTTCCGCGGTTTGACGTAATACCCGGCTGTTGTTGACCGTGAATTCTATAGTCCAGTTTAGAAATAGAAAAAATAAAAGATAGAGAGAGAGAGAGAGAGAGAGAGAGAGAGAGAGATACGGAATGAAAGATTTAATCGTAATGGTAAAAAGGAGTGTCTCGATCGCACGCACAATTCTCCACTACCAACCACCAAGGACAGATCTAAACGATCGATCGAAGTAAGATTGAATGAAAGAATAAGAACGAGATAAATAGAGAGAGAAAGAGAGAGAGAGAGTAAAAAAGATAGAAACTTCGTTTCAGACGATCGATCGTTGCTCCTTTTCGATGACTATGACGATGATGTTGATGTTACTGTTGATGTTGTTTATCGTTGTTGTTGTTGTTGACAATGATGTTATATAAATCGAAGAACAAATTTTAATAATAATAAAAGATTTTCAAAATACGAATGATAGTAAAATTATGAAAGAAAAGAAGCAACGATAGTTCGTTTTATTCGATTTTACGACCTCGTGTAAGGCCGTCGAGGGAACGAACACCAGCTACGTCCTCGCGCGCGTGCGGTTCTCGCAAGACTGCCGCCTATCGTGTTCTCTCTATCGGTTGGCTTTATACGCGCTCGTTGACAGTCGCGTCAATCCGACGGATCTTCCTCCTACGAGTTGAATTACAATAAAAAAAAAAAAAAAATAAAGATATAAAAATATAGAAAAGAATCAAACGTTATAATAATAATAATAATAATACGTAATGATTCTTATGACAATTTTTTTTTTTTTTTTAATCGAACCACTCTCTTATCTACGTTATTTTTTTTCTCTTTTTTTTTTGACAGAAATTAACACATCATCGATTTGTTCATCGAATTTCTCTCTCTCTCTCTCTCTCTCTTTTTCTTTCTCTTTCTATCTTTGTTTATATCAAATGTTTTTTTTATTTTCAATATAAATTCGTTAATTTTGTAATCAAAAACACGTGTAGTTCTCACGTGAAAGGTGTGATTTTAAAAGAAGATTTTACGAGATGCGTTATACTCGTACGTAAAAGAATGTATATATATATATATATGTGTGCGTGTAAATGTGTATTCTTTCGACCAGCTCGCCCCGCGGTCTACAGTCGACTGACAGAAAATACCGAGCGAGAGCCCGTCTTCGGCCGCCAGGCAGGCAGACGGGTGTGGATAGAGGGACCGAAGGGAGAAGGGAGGCAAAAGGGTGCCAGAGGGAAGCCGATGGCTCGACATAGAGGGGCGGAAGGAACCAGCAATCCGTGTCGAATGCAGCGCTCTGTTCAGTTAGTTTTTCCTCTCTTTCTCTCTTTCTTTCTTCCTTTATCTTTTTTATTCTTCTCTATAACTCCAAGTACAGTTTTCTTTTTCGGACAATAAATGTATCATAATTGGTCCAGGAATCGTATTCCTTCTTGAATTACGTTTCATGCTACCAGCACCTATTGTCTATTTAATTACGATTAATGTGTTATTAATAGTATCTATTTGTATAGATATATGTATGTATGTATGTATTATATTATATAGAGAGAACTATTTTTTTAATTTGAGGTTGAATTGTTTTTTAAAACCGATCGTTATGGTTTCTTCTTTTTATATATAATATTAATATATAATAAAATAAATATAATAATAAATAAATAAAATAAATATATAATATATAATATAATAATATACAAATATATCTAATATATAATAAAATGTATATTAGAGAATAACATGACGATATTATATTTGTTCTATCATATGCAAATTGATTATTGTTTTTTTTTTTTTATTTTTATTATTTCATAAAATTTATAAGCATCCCGATAATAGTAACTTGTGAAAAACTTGTATAATAAATATATACATAAATACGTAAAACGTCGAACGCACGTAACAGTATTATGCACGAACGTTAACGTTATTTTTATTTTTTGTTATTTTTTTATTTTTTCTTTATTTCTTTTTTTTTTTTTTCTTTTTTTCTTTCACTACCGACAATGTTATTCCACGCAAAACCGATGGAGAAGGCAACATGCGGTGTTCTTTACGATGGGAGAGTATACGAACACACTGCACACCGTAAGAAAAGCGGACGAAAGATGATGCTTTTCTGCTTTACCACACACCAAGAGTTACTTCGTCAGATTCTAAACTTGAGATGTGAGTGTCTACGTGTTTTCATGAAAAATTTCATAGGTAAACGATAAAATAGATCGAACGATAGAACGAGATGCGATCTAGTCTTCCAAAATTGCATCGTAAGAGAAAACTACGATGTGCCAAGAATCCTCTTACGAAATTATTATTGCTTGTATACTTCTTTCTTCCTTTCTCTCTCTCTCTCTCTTTCGAACTATTTCATCATCGATTTTAATTACTTTTACCATTTTTTATTTTATTTTATTTTATGCATTGTAATATTTAAAATACATTCAATCAGATATTCTATCATCGTTTTCAACGAAAGCTAATACTTCGTGTCGACCTAAAATTGAAATGTAAAACTACGAATATAAAAATACGAAAAAACCCGTACAAATACAAAATAAATACAAAAAACACGCCTACCAAAAAACAAAATAAAATAGGTCATGTATCAAAAAAAAAAAAAAAGGTAGCTCGATCAAGGCTGAATGAAGACAATATGTGTGCAGATCACACATGTTAGAAGTGAAACCTTCAAAAAACTAAGTTTCGAGAGAATGGGACGAATGCAGAATATCAGGTATAGGATAATTGTAGGATTTATTTGTTATAATAATATTATTATTATAACATTGTTACTTTCTCTCTCTCTCTCTCTCGAAATTCATATTATCAATCATATATATATTTTATGAAGAAGTAAAATAAAAATGTGACAGTAATTTACTTGCTTTTGAATGGAGTTTATCAGCTGCTTCTAAAATATTCTACAGTGTCATCTAATTCTTTTTCTCTCATGTATCTTATAATCATTTTTTTCTTTTTTTGTAAAATATTGCAGACAATACAATTATTATATTCTATATATTTCATAATTATTAATTATAATATTTGCGAAATAAAGAATTTAATATTAATTTTTCAATAAAATAAAAACATATATATATATACCTTACAGACTCACACAGACTTACACACTAATACAACTTACAAAGCCAGACTTCACACCTTCTTTTTTTTATTTCGACCGTCGGTTCGTTTGGACCTTATTTTTTTTTTGTCGCATACCTACGTGCTTATCTCTGTTTATTCTTCTACCCTTCTATCGCTCCTACCTACAAACAGGTATAGGATCGAAATAATATGTGTCCACGCTTCATAGTATGCAGTCGCACACAAACCTATACATATACAACCAGGAGCGATAAATACGAAGCAGAGCCTAAAGAGGAGACCGAGAATAGGAAAAACTGTATAGCTATATTCTGTCTCATTCTCTCGCAAGCTCAATCCTATATGTTTGTCTCTTTTGCTCTTCTTACTAAATATCGTAGCCGTTGCATAGCCGTCCGCCGCTCCGTTACCTCGCCGCCCACCGCTCCGTTGCCTCGCCGTAGCGTTTCATTTGTTTCAAATCAATCCCTACTCTAAAGAAGTTTTCACTTAAAAAAAAAAAAACTAATTTTTCCAAACGTAATACTAAGCTTTTACGATCCACGTTTGAAAACGTTTTACAAGTTAAAAAGAAACGATACGATTCGTCGTCATCGTCGTCGTCGTCGTCGTCGTCGTCGTTTTCATCGTCTTCGTCATCATAGTTATTACCTTTCATTACGATTTCCGTCAACGAAGTCGTTAATCAAATTTGCATGGCGTCGCAGAGCTTCTCGCAACTTTCCGTTCCGTTAAGAGATCGTCGGTGTGCGAATGGAATATTCGATATTTCGCGTTCGATACTCTACTTTCGAATTCATGTTACTTAAATTGCGGAATACTTAATTTTCTAACGCGTTGATTTCTTTAACCTTGATCCAAAACCGATAACTCTTTTAATTAACCAATTTTACATTTAAATATATTTATTTTTGTTTCAATGGATACGTTTATGTTTAATCAACGATTTTACATGTTGAATGCTAACAAGTGTAAGCTATGCTAACATAGTATTTATTTAATTTTATTCACGAATTTATTTCAATAAATTTATCAAAATACACCTCTGCTAAATGTTCCTATCTCATTTCGTGTATTTCTGTTATTTTCATATTTTATTTATTCATTATATTTATATTATTTTTGTATTCAACTTTCTATTTCATTGCAACTTCAAATCGTTAGATACATTTCATACATTCACCACCACCCTCATTCGAATTTCCACTCCCTTGAACACTTTCACGTGGATACCTCGTCTACATCGTGTGTCAAAAAGGGTGTAAATCATCGTTGGCATACCCGTTCGTTCGAAAGATGCAACCTCGCTGTGTGCTTCTTTGCAATGCGAACTAAGAGACGTGAGAAGGATAAAATTATCGATTCTGTGATACGTGAACGCAACCCGTGTTGAACGATTATGATTTTTCCTCGTCTTTCTGTATTTTTCGTTGGTTTCAACTAAAAACATGAAAGGTCGTTGATCGATGTACTTCGTAAATGGTTACCTGTTTCTTTTTTCTTCTTTTTCTTACAGTAAAAAACTTCATTTACATTTTTCTCAGATAAAATAACGAATATTTTTAAAATATAATATTTGCAAGTCAAACAAATGATTAACAAATTTATTAATTAACGTTAAACGTTAGTAAGGTATATAAAAAGTAAGATGATAACAGTTCTTAAGTAAATAATTTTGATAAGAGGAATATAATTAAAATGAAGGAATGACAAAAAGATGACTTGAAAACTTTTGATAGAATAATATGAAAATTCAATGAATTTGTTAATCATTTTTTGTTTAACGCGATAAACGAAAAAGTTTGAGCACGGATAGTACATAATAAGAAGGGAGGGGGTGAGGGGGATGAGTTGGATGAGAAATAAAGTTGGCCAACAACCGCGTATTGCGAAGGTCAGCCAATTTTGGTGGCAACTCGATGCCGTTAACTTTCTCGTATACATAGATATCACGAAACAGCCAAATGGGTTTGCTCCTTTGTTCTCTAATCGTTTGGCTAGCGAATTTCTAGATATGATAAATGAAGGTAATTTAAGTTATTTCTTACAGTTGCAGCAAGCTTTTCCTCGGAATCGTCTGCGCCTTATGTTTCTTATAAAATGGGGAACGTGTACGAATCGTCGTAAATCTTGACATCGCATAAAACTAGGAAGAGTTCGTGACACGAGACTAGAAAAAAGGGATTTTTTGTTTTATCTAAAATATACTTTCAAGTTTCTCTAGCGAATAAACGAGTAAAGAAAAAAAAAAAAAACGTGCATACTTACTTAAGAAAATGTGTATGCATTTTAAAATTATTATTATTA